ATATTCGTATGACGTGGTTCGGTATTTGTACATCCACCTTTCGTTTTTTTTTCTTTGTGCGTTCCAGGTGCAGATGGGTCCAGAGGTGCGATTCGGACGCATGAACTTTTTAAAGTGTTGTTTTCATTTTGCTTACCCATGTATTTTACTTAATTTGTACTTTATTTGGGGAAGTGTTTAATAGTAAATATATTGTTGGTACTTTCAACTTCAATAACTTTTTTGTTGGCGTCTTTGTCAGATTTATTTGTATTCTTGTTTGAATTTTTTAGTCAGTTGTGTTGCATGTCTTAGATGTATGTTTTAAACACAATTTTGATAAGTTCAATACAAATTTTAAAAAACGAATTATACTTCATCATCCTTCCTTTTTATCTTTAAACCCATTGAATAAATTATTTCGCACAAATACGTGGAGTGTTATTGTTTTCATGATAATCGCTTTCCGCTGTAAGGAATTAAACTTGAATACATAATGATAGCCTGGTATGTTCAGTAATGATTTTATAAGAAATCTGATCAGTGATTGCATCTTTTATTCACGAAGATAAAATTTGAAACAAAACGTCTTACTTTAATATCTTTCTCAGAAACAAGATTAATTATTTTTTGTTTACTCATTTTTGTACCGAAGTTAAATATTACGTCTTTTAAGGTAGATCGAGTGTCTTTTTCTGATCATCCGTTTTTGGGCATGTTGCAAAAATACTTTCTTGTTTTAGAATATTTTACCAAGTATCTTTCAATATACAACAAAAACATCTAAAACTTAAAATTTAAAGATTAAACTATCAAAAAATTATTTAAAACTTCCAAAAAAAATCCTTTTAAAATCAAAGGCAGATAATTATATTAAATTTGATAGAACAATTTGGGTTTTTTTTGTGGATTTTTCAAGAAAATAATGCCTGTGAACCCCTATTTTTATTTTATATTTCGAAAGTACTTAAAGTATTTATGAAAAGCCATTCACTCATTGAATGTTAACCAATCCCATCGTTTAATGTTTCCTCAATAAGGAAAACATAAGCTTCGCGTATATAACCAATATAAAATAACTGTCATTTCGTTAATTTCAATGTATTTTTTCACGAAAAAACCAAGGTGTGTGACCCCAAGTTTTTGTATAGAATAATGATAGTACATTGACCCTGAAATCTTTTACAAAATTTAAAGAAAAATATATGGTCGAACATTTAGATACCCCGGCTACCATAAATGACTAAACGTTTAATAGTTCCAAAGTGGTAAATACAATTCTTTGCCTTTTGGTTTTTTTTTTCTTTTTCTTTTGGTTAAAGAAACTGCATGGTAAAACCATATAACTTAAACTCATTAAATTGGTTACTACTTGTTATTTTGCAATTCCTTTATTTTCTTATAAAAATTGATAATAGCATGCTATCCTGATGTTTTATTTTCAACAAAATTGTTATCTACGTCGTAAGCATATTTCATTTAAATCAACAGACTCTCGTGCTTGATACATATAACGCCTAATGACGAGCGTCAAGTACGATTACACACGAAGCTTTAATTCATGTAAGTTAACACAGTGATACAAATCTGATTAAAAATAACGATTAAAAAGAAAGGAATTACATGAAGTCAACAGGTATGTGCATTTTTTTTGTAACTTGTAGATACTAAAAACTGTTTCACTTTACAACATACTGCAAACTTTCACCATACTATTGTACCATGGAAACTTTTAAGTTGGTGTGGTGCTTTAATATAATGTAAAAAAAAAAATAGAAGAGAAAGTTAAATTACAAATTACTATGAAATAATATATTTTCAGTCGTTTTACCCTACATAAAAGGTGGTGGATTTTGCAATGTTTATTATCATAATTTTAAAAGTGAAAAATTTCACCTGACAGGCCTACAGTAAATGTTCATTCATTTGAGCAACACATCATATGGTGCTTAACTAGATTATGTGAGAAAGTAGAAATAAGAAGATGTGGTATGAGTGCCAATGAGACAACTCTCCATCCAAGTCACACTGTGTAAAAAGTAAACAATTATAGGTCAAAGTACGGCCTTCAACACGGAGCCTTGGTTCACACCGAACAGCAAGCTATAAAGGCCCCAAAATGACTAGTGTCAAATAATTCAAACAGGAAAACCAACGGTCTAATCTATATAAAAAACGAGAAACGAGAAACACTTAAGTACCACACCAACAAACGACAACCACTGAAACAGGTTCCTGACTTAGGACAGGTGCAAACAAATGCAGCGGGTTTAAACGTTTTAACAGGCGCCAACCTTCACCCTAACCTAAAATAGTAGTGCAACATTACAACATAGATAGACACACTATAAAATACCAATTGAAATGGCTTATAACTCAAACAAAAAGGCATATCAACAAAAACAAATAAACATACACTGAACGAATAAATTTGATCTATGACACAGTATAAATACAATATTGAATAAAAAAGGGGGGATGTAAAACAATGTCAAAAAGACAACGATAACCTTGGACAAAATGGCGTTAAATAAAATAACGTACACAGGTAAGACACATCCATTTTTTAAACTATTAAATAGTATATGAATGTATAAACTCAGCGCAAGGGTTATATTCTGACATGATTTACTCATAACAGATAAAATGACTACAATATAGTATGAATAAAAAATAAAATGCCTTTACTTTCGAAACCGTTTACGTTGCAAAATCATACCCAAACAAGAATGTTTGCCCGTAGGACATATGTCCCGGACGCTCTTACTATCATATTGTTATGTTCAGTGAACCGCAAAAGTTCACATCATATTGAACAGAACCACAAATAAGTTTCTTCCTCGGATTTCTCTGAATTTTTGTTTACTCAAATTTCATAAGACCCATTTATTTATTTGTATCAACAGTATTATTATTACCTTAATATACGGTTTATTGCAGTTTTGAACACATTTTGTCATTTCACCAGGCCAAGGTTTTCATAGACTGTTGTTGATGCATTTACATTAGATCCAATGTACTGGTTGAAATTTTAGTCTGGGAAAATATGGTTTACAGATTAGTAAGAACTGGCTTTGCTGGGCCTGTAATTTAGTTGGTTGCTGCCTGGATTATTATTTTTACGTTTGTTGTTTTAAGATTAAATAAAACCGTTGATTTCTCTTTTGAATTGTTTCTCATTTAGTCATGTCGGGACCTTCAACAACTTTCTATATGGTAGTGACTATGTTTATGCATTGTTGAAGGCTTTACAGTAACCTATGATTTACATCTTCGTCCTTTGGTCTGTGGTGAATAGTTGTCTCATAGACAAGCATACCTTATCCCCTTATTTCTATATTCTTATCTTGTTGGTTTTTTTTATATAAGCAATCGGCACATCGAATAAATATCAACAAAGGTTTTTGTTTTAGTTTTTAAAAATGTAGTTTTTCGATTAGATTAATACCCCCATGGAAGTTTTATCTACCAAATACGGAAGCGTATTAGGGACATAGTAAAAATAAAATTGGCATAGAACGTTTTTTCAAAGTCGAAATTTTTACATTTCAAATCTTAAAATTTCAACTTTAACTCGAAATTTTAACTTATCAAATCTCTAAATTTTGACTTTAACTTTAAATTTTGACTTTTTTTAAAACTCGAGATTTCGACTTTTCCTCAGTATTTATACGTTTGCGATTATCACATTCAGTCATTTATAACAGCAAGCGGAGATCCATATACATCATAAACTTGATAAGCATTTCTTAATAAACAAAACCATTTTAAAGAGGTTATTTTAGATAGAAAATCTTTTTTTGCGAAAGAATAAATGTAATGTTTCACGTACAAATATCTACTTCAAGTCTGGACTTAGATATGTGTACCCCGTTATTCCGACACACCTATATTACGCCATACTTTTATTCAACAGTCTAATATATAAAGACAAGGTTTAATAGTTGTGACATAAGAATGCCAACTTGTAAAGTTTAATCAATGTTTCAGAAAAAAAGAACCGACATTTCAAAATTCCAAAACTAGAAAACTGAGCAGCTCATGAGTCGTTCTGAATATGCATGACATATTTGCCACATGATTTACCATTATTTAAACAAGGCAAAGTCAGTGACTTGCTTTTGGGAAACAAAACAGGCCTTTAAAACCAACCATAAAACATGGGATGCAAAATGTCCTAAGATCTGACGATCCTATGACAGTGTCGTGGAAACTAAAACATGGAATATGGGAAAACAACAATATTTTTCTGTCAACATGCATGTTCTTAATAAAAACAAATGCATGTTCTTTCCGAATGAAACTCTTCAATACTAAATGCTAATCCATATCATAATTTAAGAACAAAACCAATTTCTGAATATAAATTGCCAAAATGTGTGGATGACGCTTTAGTAATTTGCGTCTATGTCTCCTTCTAAAATTGTATTAACTTCGTTTGAATACTAATATCAAAGTTTAGATACTTAGAAAAAGTCGAAATTTTGAGATTTTAACAGTAAAACTTCAAGTTAAAATCAAAAGTTCGAGATTTTTAAAGTTGAAATTTTTAGTTTAAAGTCTAAATTTCGAGTTTAAAAAAATCGGAATTTTGAGGTTAAAGTCGATATTTTGACTTTTATAAAGTCGAAATTTCGAGTTTTAAAAAAGTCAAAATTTCATCTTTTTAAAAGTCGAAATTTCACGATTTTAAAAAGTCAAAATTTCGAGATTTGAAAGTTAAAATTTCGAGTAACAGTCGAAATTTTAAGACTGGAAATGTCAAAATTTCGACTTTGAAAAAAAGTTCTGTGCAAATTTTATTTTTACTATGTCCCTAATACGCTTCCGTAACCAAATAATAAATGTTTTCATACTTTTATGTTCATGGAATTTCTCTGATAGTGTACTAGTTTCTACTCTTCCTAAATAATGACGTGTATTTATTATTGGCCGAAGTTATTGTTATGTTTATTGACCAGTGAAGTAGGTCAGTTGTACACTTGGGTATTTAATCATTGATCGGACACGAGGTACTGGGGGCAACGAACTGTTAGGCTTTGAAATGGCGGAGAATGGTAAAAGAACGGTTGTGATAGCTATGGACGGAAGTTTGTATTCAGACTATGCATTTGACTGTAAGTAATTCATGCTAATATTATATGTAGTTTAGTTATATATTCACGTTTTGTTGATATATTAGGTTATCAAGTACAGTAATTATTTACGTTACAGCTCACGATACAATATATATGTGTGTGTAAACTTAATAATAATATTGAATTTATTTAAAATTGTTTATATCTTCATTCTTATAGGGAAAATGAGACTTATGCTGACTTGGTTGATGTACATTACCAAGTCTTTATTTCAGATGGGTTTACAGGTCATTAATATTAGAACATAAATATAAATAACCCTGACCCAATGCCTGAAACCAATTATAGATCATTATAGGTATTTACACAAAGCTATCAATAAATGTTATTGTATATTCAGCATTTGTCATGCTTTCCCATTGCATAATTAAGGTAACACTGATGAAAGACCCTCTCCTAAGTTATTGAAATCTATAGTTTTGTATATAAATAAGATACACTCAATCGGGCATCAACCCCTTATTGGTGTATCTAAAACATATTTGTGACATATGTGAAGAAATAATAGAATAAAAAGTAAACAGTAGCAAGGCTTCTTTGTACCCACGGTATTCTTGCATGCATAGTGTTGATTTTTCATAATTATCAGAGAGAAGTTAATACAGTCATGTATAAATTATTAAAAAAAAAATATGGATTGACTTTTCCTTCGCTTGTACGTTCAGTGGTATATATTCATGCATATTCATGACCAGGATGAGAGCAAATTTTAAACTGAGGAATAATGACCACTTGCAATGAAAATCTCACACAAAAGAAGAGCATCTAACTGATAGACGATTTAACAACTTATTAAGGAAAAAAATATAACATAATTTTACAAATTATTCAAAACAATCGTTAATATCATTTGACTAGTAATTGTTTAATAATTGACCTTTTTGATTATAGAATTTTCGTGTACATAAGAAAGTTTAAATTGTTTTAACACATTTATCTTAAAACCAAGACATCAACGAAACAAAAGCCATGGATATGATTTTCTTTTGAATGAATATTTTATTGAATTTACTGAATTTCTTCTGCCTTTTCTCGAGAAAATTTTTAACACAGTGTTGTCGAAAGGTTATTTTCCAAGATCTTGGTGTGGACTATAATAATTCCGGACTTTAAGAATAAAGGAGACAAAAATGACCCAAATAATTTCAGAGGCATTAGTTTACTAAGCAATCTTGCAAAATTATTTACAGCTATTCTAAACAGGAGACTTATACAGTGGGCCGCAAGAAAAGACATTCTTACCGATGCGCAATTTGGTTTTCGTCAGGGACATGGAACCGTTGATGCTGTACTTCAGTCTATAATAAATAAAACATTAGCTATGAAGAAACGTCTCTACTGTTGTTTCGACGATTATAAGCGAGCCTTTTACAGTATAAATAGAACGACCCTCTGAATAAAGCTATCTCGCTTAGGGATTCGGGGAAAATTGTTAAACACTTTACGTTCAATGTATGAATCGACAAAGGCTTGTGTAAGATTCAATGGATCGTACTCTGATTTCTTTGAAAATAAGGTTGGTCTCCCACAGGGAGAGGTTTTATCGCCGATATTATTCTCATTATACGTTAATGATTGCGAAATTTCTTTTCTCAAAAATGGATGTGTTCCATATGAACTAGCAGATCTCAGTCTCTTCTTATTGATGTATGCGGACGATATGGTGTTATTTGCGGAGTCACCGTAAGGTCTACAATCTATGTTTGATTCCTTAGAATCGTACACAACAAATTTTGATTTAACTGTAAATATTGATAAGACAAAAATAGTTATATTTAGAAACTGGGGTAATATTAGAGAAGACGAAATAGTGGACAAGTTTTGTTATCTAGGATTTATTTTAAACATCAACGGAAAATTTACAAATGCACCAAAAGAAACTTGCTGAACAAGGAAAAAAATCGATGTTTGTTTGCACTGCTTTCTAATTGTAGAAACTGTCATCTGAACGTACATACTCTGTTGTCACTTTTTGGTATTTATGTTTGTAGTGTTTTAACTTATGCCTGTGAAGCAGATGAAATCGAAAAAGTCCATTTATGTTTTTGAAAAAGATTACTCGGAGTGAAGCAACAACCAATACTGCTATGGTGTATTTTGAGCTGGGACGTATTCCCTTAATAGTGAAACGCAAACTGCAGATTTTCAAATATTGGCTCAAACTTTTGAACACAAATAACTGTATTCTGAAAGGTGTCTACAAGGATCTTAGAGCTTCTTGTGCAAATACCATTCGCAGGTCGATGATTTGGGTAAAACTGATTAAGGATGAATTACACAACATGGGACTAGGTGAATTGTGGCTTCGCCAAACTGAACTGACATTTGAAAACTCTTTTTCACTAATAAAACAGCGTCTAATAGATATAAAAACACAATATTCTTTGCTGGAAAACAGTAGCAAGTGTGTTATTTACAGAAATATAATCACAAACCGAGACTTAAAATATTACTTGACTAAATATATCCCTCCTTTGTACCGGAAGGCTATTACAAAAATAAGACTATCTTCACATTCATTAGATATTGAGACTGGTCGTTTTCTGAATGTACCTGTAATGGATCGTAGTCAATGTATTGAGGACGAGTTCCACTTTATTCTTATGTGTTCGGCATATAGAGACTTGCGGGCAAAGTTTATAAAAACAATACTACTGATATAGACCGAGTGTATTTAAACTGATACAGTTGTTGTCTGTACAAAATGTTAAGCAGTTGACTTTTTTTGGGCTTTTAAAATTAGGGACAGTTTTATACAAAATAATTAACATTCTCTGTCTACATTTTTTATTGCAATTATAACTTGTTATTTTTTGTTTACACCGATGAGCTGTAAAGCTTGAGGTAATAAAGTATATAATATCATTAAGACTAAAATGAAGATATTACAGATACAAAGTAGTGTTGAAAAATAATCTGTCCAGAGGCAATTGTTGTGTAAACTAGATCCATAAACATAGGACATTGATTGAAGTTAAAATAGTTATGACCATAGTCTTTTGTGTAATTCTCAGCGCAACATTCAACATCTTTCTTTCAGGAGGGGGAATTAAAACGTCAGTGTAAACAACAATGTTATTAATTTTTTTTTTATTATTATCATGATTATATCAAGAATTAATAGTTTTATTTAACATAAACAATATAAATTAAAATATATAACCTTAAAACTGTTATAATTCGTACTGTTATAACAACAGCATCATTTATATATTCCTATTCGAATTAAAGGGAAAGTAAGATAACAACAACCCAACTACAAGACAAGTACACCCACAGGTAAACATATAGATAAACAAACACTAATTACTTTAGTAGAACATACGTTGCTAATCAAGTATATTTACAAAAATAATCATACATATTTATTTCAAGGGTATACCCAGAACGCAACAAAAGAAAACGATGAAGTACTAATTATTACCTGTCTTGATAACCATGGCTGTACTGCATATAGTAAGTAGATTATAGCTGCTGTAGTATTCTTCACTACGTTTATTCGGCAACATATGGCTATCAATAGCAAGTTCGTTACATAGATAAAAATCCATGATAAAGACATAATAAAAATAGGCGGAAAAACAAGTTGGATATAAAAAAAATCTTAGTGTTCCATCTACTGTTTTAATAGTGCATTCCCCATTTCAGTAGGAAGGAACATTCGACACAACTGCGTGATGTTTGATGATGGAAGAGGGTGATTGTCCTTTGACGGCCTTAAATAGGGATATATAATATTTTTGGAAAAGATTATCGGTGTATATACATGATATGAAAATAAGAAGTTGTGGTATGTTGGCAAAAGAATGTAAACAACTATAGGTCATCGAATAAACTCTTCCAATGAGCAAACCCCGTCCTTTATTGTACGCTTTTAAAAGCTCCGAGATAAAAAAAAATCTAAAAATATTCAAAAGGAAACTAGTGGCCTGATTTGAATTGATTACATTAAACTAAAAGCAATTATGACAAACAGCAACGACAAACGGCAACAAACAAAAACCACTGAGTTACAGGGTCCTGCTTGGAACAGGCACAACATTCCCCAAAACATTATATATTTAAGGAAAATTTATTATGAAATTAATATAATTTCTTTGATCCAAGACAATTAGAACATATTCGTAGACAAATGTGACACAGACTTGACAAAACTTTCAAAGCGACAACTTCAACAATTTAAAGCCTGGAGATGATGCACCATTTTGTAAATTGTAGAAACCAAATATCTTCTTCCAATTTTTTAATATAAACTATTCAAATGCTGACCTTTCTCATTGTTAAAGGCCATACGGTGACCTATAATTGCTTACGACCTCTTGATTTTTACTCTGGTGGACAGTAGTCTCATTGGAAATCATATCAAGTTTCCCCATTTTTATGATTATTGGGATTTCTTAACTTAATATTCGCAAGCAATGTTTGAATCATACAAGAAACACAGAAAGTTTCTATATAGCCTTGTTGAACGCGTGGTCAAGGACAGGCGTTATTGCCGTTTTATCAGCTAGAGTTCGAATCCTGCTCTGCAACTTTTTTCTAACATTTCGAGGCTAAATTTAAGACGTCAAATCCATATTAAAATGAGATGTGCTATGATTGCCAATGAGACAACTGGTGTCTTCCTGCTATTCCTACATTTTATAAATACATATTCCTTCTATTCCTACAAACAAAGAACAGTAGATGTTGGTATAAGGTGTTTTGTTGTTTTAGCAATTTAAATTTGATTAAAATACAGATAAGTACAGGTAATCTGGAAAGGATTATCACAATGATAAAAACAAATAGAAAAAAGTAGATGCATTGCAGAGAATATAGAACAGAAAATTCCCTAAAAATGAATGTATTTCTGTTAAAAAAAAATGTTTTTAAAATAATAAACCCCATATACGACTTTTATTTTAAAGTTTACTATATTTAAGGGGATATTATATTGTCCGGTGAACTTTATTAATTTTGACTATGTTCTAATTAAATGGCGTAGATGCTAGAATAAATGCTACAAAAGTATTATTATTAGTATTATTATCATCATTGATATTTTGGGAGGCGGCTTTCCTGGTATGGAACTTGCGCCCTACTTAACACTATTGTGTGAAAAATAAAAATTCCCTTAGTGTTTCGTATTGTTTTATGTGAGTTCTGGAGTTGTGAGTTTTTGTGAAGTCCTAACTGTGTTGTGAAGTTGTACTTATGTAAAATTCGACAGATTTGTTGAAATATTGATGTTGACATTGAGTGATAAATATAAGCTAATTATATAGATAATTGCTTTGATATGACAGACAGACAGACAGACAGACAGAATATTTAATTGTATGTGTGGTAATAGTAGCCAGTAAATGAAATAAATAAAAATAGAAAAAAACGAATGAATCTGAATATATCCATCGCGAAGATGGAGATTATATATTGCTTCCCGATAGCCCAGTGTCAATTATTTAAGGAAAAATCCAAAGCTATATATGTGTCACATAAATAAAACATTGATAAATAAATAATAAAATTATCATATATTTCATTCACCTACTTTGAGCTTAGCAAACAATATTATATCTGAAATTCCCATAGATACCAAGGGACCAGTTTGGTTTGTAGCCCCCTCTTCAGCGAGGATCGTCAAGGTGATGTGTGTTGACCTCGACTGCCCTCACTGACCACTGGGTTGAAAGTAATCGAAGTCTCTGGAACTGCTATGCAACAGATGGCCCAAGAACTACAAATCATCTAGAGGGCTGGCACAACAAGTTAAAGAAATTGGTCAAGGCACCCCACCCAAACATATTTAGTCTTGTCAAGCTGCTGAAGCATGAAGAGGCGATTCATGCGTGCAAACTGCTCCAATATGCAGCAGGAGGGAAGCATGTACCAAGGCTATTTACTATTTTTCATGAACATGATGAAATAAATAAATGCAACTTTTCTGCTTTTTTTTTATCATTGTCCCTCAGTGATATAAGAGGAAACAAACATAACACAACAGTACAAAAACAGACAAGAATATATATTTCTTTCAATAATTTGCATCATTTTATACTGTTCGTACACTAAAATTGAACATGAATTGAAAACTAAAAGGCATTTCATCTAAATTTACCTGAAGTTAATTAGCTTCTTGTTTTTACAACCTAATCCGATTTAATCCCATGTTTGTACAAGCATTCCTCCTATTCCTACATGGATTTCTTACATTTTACATACCGAATTATCAAATGTAGGAATAGCAGGAATAAACCGAGACAACTATCTTCCAGAGTTAAAATTAAGTGGTTGTAAGCAATTATAGGCCACCGTACAGCCTTCAACAAAGAAGTATTGTTTCAATCATGGCTCGTATCATCATTTGAAATGTTCGTATGAAATGAGTTTGACCGATGTACTCATACTGGGACAGTTCTTACTTTCAGTCATAAAAAACATTTTCTGTAGTAAAGATTCCATATCATTTAAATTAAGCAATGTATTGAAAGTGTGAACCTAGAAATGGTTGGTTGGTGTTCGGTGTAAGAGACAAGTGCGACTTTTGAAGATGTAAATGGGAATTGTATTATGATCAATAATAATAAATTAATGCGTTTTATAATCGTAAATATATGTTAAAAAATCGCAAATAGGAGTGAATATTATGACGTGAAGAGCAATTTGTATTATCGCTTTATAAATAAGTTTAAAGGACCTTTTAAATCGATTTTAAGGGTTTAAATGTAGTACATATTACTTATAAATCCGTAAATTTCGTTATTTCAATTTGCATTTGAAAGATTTCTACGTAGATTTGACTGAGTAGTGAAAATAGAAACTCAAGTAGTATTCCGAACGTTATCGAAGAATGACAGGAGGAAAGATGTTTTTTATTAGAATAGGAAACATATATAATTTGTAAAAATATCAAAATTTGAATAATAAGATACTGATAATGCTATTTGTTTATTTCTTTTAGTGCGTAGAAATTCCAGTACTGATGAAATACGAAAACAGCTGCAGCAGGATATGAATATTCATGCTGCACTGGAAGAACATCTTCAATTAAAGCTTTCAAACGCTGGGGTAAATTAATTATTTGTTCTTTCAATAAAATATACAATATCAACCACAATTCTTTTATAACTGAACACACAAAGTCTAATCTTTTTAATAAATCAAGTAATCAAATTTAAATGAGGAAAGATGACATCATGGGGATAACTTTTATTATTTGTTAATTGATTGTAATACAAGACTAAACCCTAAATAGAGTAACAAAACTCAAAGCATGAATATATGATGAAGATTAATATGTTTTGTAAACGTTATAAAACAATGGGACTTATCTCATTGCATATGTAAAAACCAACAAATATATAGTTTATATAAATATAATTTTCAGATCAGTGGGTCTGTATTTTCGTGTTATGGTAAACCCGGAGAGGCCATCATTAATGCAGCGAAAGAAAAACATGCATCTGTGATTATTTGTGGATCTAGAGGTCATGGAAAACTAAGACGAACAATAATGGGAAGCATCAGTAGTTATATTGTACACCATTCCGATATTCCGGTAATTGTTTGCAGGCACAAAGATCACCATCATCACGACCATCATCACCATGTTCATATAGACTCACCTGCTGACGTCAGTAATTTGTTGCATGGACATTGATGGCATTTTTATTTATGCTTCAGTTTACACTTGTACATATATATGTGATTATTATATTAAATTAGCAATTGATTATATGCAATAAAAACGTTTTTACCTAAAAGCATTTCATTGAGCAATATATGTTAGTCCTTTGTACCGTACAGTTTTTATCTTAAATGATGACCAATAGTGTACTACCCACATTGTAGATACCTTTTTAAATTTCATTTTCATTTTGCCAGACAAGTCTGAAGTTGTTGCCAAACATATTTTACTCGATTTTCAAATTGATCCATCTTGTTATTAACGTGTATATATTATAATCAGCAATCCAGGTCGTGCTTCAAAATTACTGTGAAACTACCTACTCTACAGGCGCTGTGAATCAGATGTGGATACTAATAAATTGATAAAAGATCTGTGAGTTTACATACAAACTACGTCTCTTTCCTCTTGCAATAGTATAAAAACTTTTGACCTCTCTACTCTTTACACCAATTTTTCTCATTCTTTTAAAACATAAAGACAGTTTGAAGGTACCAACTTTGTTTCATAAAAAAAAATGGGCAACGTAGATACATCTAACCTGTTTTAGGAAGGGATAAATCGTACTGTTTGAATTGTTTTACACTGGTCATTATGGGGCCCTTTATAGCTTGCTGTTCGGTGTGAGCCAAGGCTCCGTGTTGAAGGCCGTACTTTGACCTATAATTGTTAACTTTTTATAAATTATGACTTGGATGGATAGTTGTCGCATTGACACTCATACCACATCTTCTTATTCATATCTACAACTGATCGACGCAAACCGAATCGGAATTATAGAGATACTGTCTCGTGGATTAATCTTATAGTTTGGTACTTTGGATAATTTTTCATTCTTACTGAGAATCAACTAGATAAAGTCTGGCTCATTAAAATAAAGAAACAAGTCATCAAGAAGAATGGGTTCCATAGGAATGCCAATTGTCTGTTGGAAAACATGTTCTCCAAACGTAACAAATATGTTGTCAATAAAAAAAATCTTGATGATGTCAGTTTTCGAGAATTTTTTGTTTGAATCTGTGTATTTTAACAAATATAAATAAGAAGATCACTGAATTTGTACTTGCGTAAGCACACATATGTAAAGCGCAAAATTAACCCAAATTCACGTTCTGAGGGAACATCTTTTGAGCGAGTGTTCCATGATATTTGATGGTTTTACTGAATTTTCTGCCATGGAAAGAAAACATTTTCATGAAAAAACAGCAACGTCGTATTTAATAACATAGATGCAAAATTTAATTCTGTAAAATACATTTGATTTAATTACCATTTTAACCCCAAATTTTACCCACTTTCGGTTACCAGATTATCTATACATCATCTAGAGGACAATACAATCAGTCATGGGAATTTACTCAAGCTAAGAAACAATCCGATTCTTTTGTATTACAAGCTCTGTATTTTTAATAGGAAATGGTTGCTTTTACAATTTTTGAGAATGATTGATGATCGTGCGGTCAACTTAATTATTTTCCTTATTTTTGGCTCCTATGTCTGGCTTTTTTATTTGATAACATTGGGAAAAAACTCCAGTCATCACCACCTTTCCTTTTCTATTTTAGCCCATTGTTAATTTATTCGTTTGGGAGCCATGTCGACCTTTTGACCAATGTAATTTAACTTCACAAACAAGCATATGTGGTAAAAGTATTTAATTCTAAATTTTGTTCCTGTTGACGTGTTTATTTTTTATCAATTATGTCATGAAATTTGCACTTTTACTTTCTAAATAGCATATAAAGGAAGTAGTATCATATATGAGTTCCTTAATAACACTTTATACTTTCATCACTAAAAAAAAATATTATTGTTTTTAAACCAAACTCATCATTTTTTACTATGACACAACTTTGGTCATGTGTATTTTTTGTATTGGTTATTATTTATTCATTGTATTGTCGTAAGTAAATTGTTACACAAAAAACGAAATCGAGAATATTCTGACCATGATTATGTCATTTTCCCCCCTAAATTTAACAAATATTATAGTAAAGGTCAAAATAAGCCTGTGTCGCTCATTCGTTTCCAAAGCCCGGAATACTGTGGAATAATTTATTTTCTTGGATTGAGGAAAAATGGTATGTTCGTACATACTTGATTTCGTTGTTTTGCCAAAATTTGCATACTTCGTTGAACATTTAAATTCGGAGTAATCTATATCCACGATATCCACGAAAGTTGCCAACCAACAAATAATAATGATCCACAGTACCGACTTGATAAGCCTCCCCAAGTATAACGCCTTGATAAATATGCGATGTAAAAACTGACTTTTTTACCTGAAAAAAGTTGATAAATTTCTGCTTTTCGATCTGATGAAATATTATTATCTTGTTAAAAGAAAATTTCAACGATCTTTTTTATTTCCTACGATGTTGGACAAGACGGTTAAAGAAAAGCGGAAAAGGGAATGCGATCGATTTTATAAAGGGTCATTTCTCAGTTAGAGTTTTTTCTTCTTTTTCCTATAAAAATTTAAAATATTTTAACTAGGCAAAGAATTTTTGAAAGGAACAATCTATAAACTATCTCTTTACATGTTGTTTAGTACAGGTCATATAGGTAAGGTTTAAAAAGCTAGATTCTCCAGTCTTATTTGGCGAAAATCGCCATAACATTTCGGATTCTTTTTTATTACAAAACACCGGAACATTGTATATTGGTTTGGTTCTAGGTTTGGTTCGTCTACAACATCTCGTTGAAGAGAAGTATAATTTCTCACGTTTCGTTAGTATAGGGAGAAATTATTGTATTTACGGTACTAGTGTATAGTTTTATAAGTTTACGTCACTAGGTATAAGACACGTGACTAATTCTATAGCGGGAATTTTCTTTTCCAGAGGCTATCACTTTCTAGCCCGCCGCAGACAGGGCAACATTCAAGTTCCGTTCATTTTATGAATATATTATGATACATGTATTTATATGTTTTCAAAACTTTACACGCCCGAGTATGTCTCTTGAGACGACTTGTCGCATTGGGGCGGACCCAGGTTTCCAGTTTATCCCATTATTGGGTTTGTTTGGTTGTTCTTGGCTGGCGAGGTCGTCCGTGATAGAGTTATTCATTAATTAGTTATTCAGTTTACATTTATGTCAACCATATATTAGTTTTGTTTGTATTAGGTTTACATTATTCTAGCTAAGTTGTACCTATAGTATATCCATGATTTTGTAATTCGGGTTATTTGTGATTATTGTTTTTTCATATTTGTTAGGTTGATTTTCTAGGCACTTTATATTTAGATAATAAATGCAAATAATTAATAAATTCCGTTGACCACTATGCTTGCTGGGCTATCGGCAATATTATGTATATTGTATTCATCCATGCCTTTATAGAATAATAGATATGAGCGTATAGGGTATACCAAAATATATTTCTAAAATGTTTGCCAGATTAGTAGTTTATAATTTGTCTAAACAAATCTTAAACGATTTTTTTTATCATTTCTCTCTGTAGTTACATTGAAAGCCTTGAGCTTTCATGATTTTTTAAAAGCTTTTCTTCGTTATCATTATTTGTTGGGGGATTTGTTTTTTATTTATTTTTTAATTCAAATTTCATGCGGATAACTTTATTTCTCATGGATGGCGATCGCGTTGGTAAGTGCTGTCATCCTTTATATTTTTTAATACAGATTTGTTTAGGATGTTCAGGTTTGTTTGGTGGGATTTCAAAGAATCAAAGATTTTAATATTTAACGACGTGCGACAATGTGTGTCAAGTTAACAGTCGAAACCAGCTGTCTGGTCCAGGTAAGTGAAACGCTAACTTTAACTGAACTATATTGGAAATTGATTTAAATATTGTGTATTATCAGGAAGTAAATAAACATATCAACGGGAAGTATACGTATCTATATTAATATTAAAGGCAAGTGCCCAGTATTTATAAGATTACCAGTACCTGATTTTAAGTAAGTCAGAAAACAATCAACATCATTACAGAGAATATAAATCTAGAGACTGTCAACTCCATTAAATGGCCATATCACCTATTGAAATATCATTCGGCTCTCTTATTAGTTTTCGCGTGTTCGCCTCGAGAGCAAGAGGTCGTGCGTTCGAACCCCGGCCGGGTGAAACCAAATACTTTAAAACTGATATTTGCTGAATTCTCCACTATGTATTCTGTGCTTTTGTTAACAGTTACCTTGTGAACTAGCATGTTAAAATCCAGCTTAGCGTGTCGGTCTATTACAAAGCAAGATTAATATTCAAAGTACATTAACATGTTCTCGTCCTGACTATGCAATTTATTTGCCGCTGTACGTTAAACAGCCACAAATCATCATCATCATTTTTTTTTTCAAACTACTTTTTCATGTACAGACACATATTCCTATTCTTGCTTTTTCTCATCATAGATTCTATCCGGATATTGTTTAAATGGTTTGAAAAATAATAATTTTGAAATAAAGATTATACGAACAAGGAAGTTCTAAAATTGACGTCAATATATTACAAATCCAACGAAAAAGATGGAGTGTTCTAATGGCTGATACTTCATTTTTGTTGTTGATTTATAAATATGATGGTATAAGATACGGAAAACTAAATGAACTTTTGATAAGGTATTGAAAGTTTTATTTAAATATTTTGTTTGTTGATTTCGGGAGAAATATTATTTTAATTCGTACTATCCATTTTGAATGAAATCACGAGATTTCGCATAGTTGCCAATCTCTTGCACTATATGGTTTGATCTGATTGATTGAAAACTTCTTGATAAATATATAAAACATGTAATCAGAGGTTGTCGCCGATATAAAAAGAAGAGTCGAGTGATTTTTTTCTGTAAATTACTAAAGCCTTTAATCGAATTTGTGTTTGTTTTGTTATACAATGTATGCAGCAATAATTATACAAGTAAATATTGAGACAAGGAATGACACACTGAACCATGATCTTCATACCAATTGATTAATGTGCGAAAAATACCCAAACTATATAAAGTTTACTCAAAGAATTGCATTATCTTCGATGAAGATTGCAAATTTATAGCATATAAAGAGCTGAGTTGAGTGCGTACAGTCGATACTATATCTAATAACAGAAGTCCATTAATAGGGT